TGGCAGAAGGTTTCCCAATACAAAGTGCCCCACCAACGCCAAGATCAACGCAGGCAGCATCATATCCAGGTATGCAACAAAAGTACTTCCTAATGGCCAGCCCCCCTGCCATTCCCCCCATTTCGCATGTTTAATATAGGCCTTAATTTGGGGGGAGGGGCTTAATTTGATTTTATGCCTATAATGCATGCTGGGACTTCCTATTGGGGGAGGCCGTAGTGTTGGAGAAACACGGTATTATAATTTGCTTTCCCTTCCCACATTCCTTATGTTGTTGGAAGAAGTACTTCCCATCACTAAGTAATTGAGATCTATGAGTAAGAACTGTATACAAACAAAACTCATAACAAAACATTCTGAACTCACTCACTCACACATCCCAGGTAAGTAACTAATTGCTATTATTTGTATCCACTCCTCACGTCTAAAAATAAGGTAAAATTTATCCTTCTAAGAGAGATATTCAGTTCTTGCATAAGCTATAGTTGTAATACTGTCACATTAATATTATGGCTTACATTTATCTGCCTTTATTCCTCTTAAAAACTCATGATAGTGTTCCTTTCCTCCTTTTATCCTCACAACTCCACGAGCTAGGCTACGTTGAGAGAGACTAATGGAGTTTATATTACCCAATTTGCCACATAGTTGAACTGAACCTTGAACACAAGTTTTCTCTATACTAGTCAATTATGTCAGTTTCAGCAAGTATAGTTTTCTGCTGGATGAAAATGTAGTTTGGGAAAAATCATATTGTGACCTATTTAGATGTTATACAAATAAACATGATGGTAGACAGTGGTTCCAATCAACTTTGGAATTACAAATCCAGTAATACAGGGGCATACCCAAACTAGCCAACCATGTTTCATTTGAGTGAGTTGAAAACAACCCAAACAATGTGGCTAGTTTATGCTTCAGCTTTGTACAGTCACAATGTGGTTGACTAGTTAAGTAACCCTTGAAAAGCTTGTCTTGCAAAGACAGCTGCTGATAGTAAGAAATCACTAAAATGGATCCTGGGGCAGATAAGTCCTTCCTCATTATAGATTTTCAAGCAAAGGCTGGATAATCACTTCTTAGGGATACAGTACTTTCCTGCTTAAGACAGAGCATTAAATATTACACTATATCCCCGCATAGCTCTTCCAATTCATATTCTGTACAGAATTATGACTTTATAGCATAAAAGGTATAGCAACTATCAGGAATTTTGATGCTTTGCTTTCAGCTATTGGATAGGAAGAAACTAATTGTGTTTTTTCCTTGTCATATGACTTTAAGACAGGGTAAAATATATTTGTTTTTCAAATATTAGACACTTAATCAACCCCATAATAATGATTGGATTGATTGGGTATTGTAGTTTAGCACTATCTGAACAGGTCTCTACCTTTAAGAGCTGAATGACATTCAAGGATATTGAGTATTTCCCATTTCTTCATCTCCATGGCAAGAACAATTTCACCTGCTATTGCTCTAAATGTTAAAGTCACAAGATTGTCCAGAGCTGAAATTTAATTTAGATTGAATTGCTTGCCTGATAATCCTATTATTTGGCTGTATACCTGGAGTTACATTTCTTTTCTTTTGGACACCAGTGTTACTAGTCTGAGTTAATGATATTAAATCTCAGGAAGTCAATAAATATAAATTTTGAATAGCAGCTAAGATATGGAAAATCTCTGTTCCTAGAAGGAAAAGGAGATGGATGCTTTGCTATCCGGTGGGAGGGGTCATTAATGCAGGGATGACCAATCTTTGGTCTAATTTAAAAATATATTTTAAAAGGCTTAGTGGTTAATTGTTCTGTAGTCACAACCTAATGATAGGGAGAGGGAACGGATCCAAAAGAACCATACCAAAGCAGAATTAATATCTCACTCTTTCCTTCAGACCTGTTCACAAAGTGATCTGAAACTGATGCCCTCAGAGGGAATAAAATATTGCCCTCCCTTGAATCAAGCATAATAAATAGCCCACTTGTTTATTAAGTAAAGAACAATACACGGACCTCTGTATATGGTTGAATTCCAGTGTTCACAGTCCAAAATGGTGCCGGCAAGTGCTGAAAGGAAATGGAGCTCAGAACGCTGGAAGGCCATATGTCATGTACTGCCCCTGTAGTTTAAAACACAGAAATTGGTTTTTCCTTTAACATGTTATAAATATTGTATACTCTGATGGAGGGCTGATCAAGAGAAGGGCAAAATAGTAAGAGGCTGAACAGCAGCAAATGCTACTCTATTAGATATTCCTTGTTTATTTGTAGGGCTGTATTTGCATTCTTGCAGGGGAATGATGGGTTAGAACATCCTTTGCCAACCTATCAGGGGATGATAGTAGTTGTAGTCCAATATACTTGCAGAGGACCAGATTTGGAGAAGCTAGTTTAATAAAGAAGAAATATAGAAGACTAGAAAATTTCTTGACAGAGGCATCTCACATTGCTTAATTCAAGCTTGCTGCTTCTTGGCGCTACTTATGCTTCACCTCTTGTCTATATTCTTTGACACTTTCTATTATATAGTACTGTAAGCTACTTCTGCTGCAGCCAGCTGCCTGCAATTTGGCAGTTCAAATCTCACCAGGCTCAAGGTTGACTTAGCCTTCCATCCTTCAGAGATGGTAAAATGAGGACCCAGATTATTGGGGGCAATATGCTGACTCTGTAAACCTCTTAGAGAGGGCTGTAAAAAAAACTATAAAGTAGTATATAAATCTAAGTGCTATTGCTATATAAAATCTGTCAATAGGGCCTTGATCTGTGAGCTTAACATAAGCTTTTCACAACCAAAACTGCTAAGTATAAATTTCCATGGAGGCCAATCTGGTAAATAAATGGCTGCTTTCCATCTTGTGTGTTTGAACATGTTTGGATTGCACCCAGGTCATATTTCTCGGCTGTTTCCTGAAAGTGCAAAACATTTCAATGAGATTCTCAGTGTCCAAATCCTTTTTATATGGTGCTGATGCAATGAGGGAAAAAGCATAGAGAGATGTCACTATTGAACTTAAGTCTCTGACTGTCAGTGACCCACAAAAAGCTGTGCAGTACTATATAGTGACAAAAATTCATCATTCTGGTAAACATTTCATGTGCTACAAAAAATACTATGTATCAGACCTGCAAGTGAACTAGGCTTCCCAATAGAGTAAATTCTATATTTTTAATGCCACTTGAATATCCCAGTGTATATGAGAACTGGAAACCATATATCCACTACTATTAATCAATAATCTTCTATTTGGATATCAGGGCTGTTGAATTGATTTATTCATGAAGTTACTTAATGCTCTAAAAAAAAGATAGTTAAAATTTGAGAGAAAGAAAAAAGTGAATCCCTGATAACTACATATGGAGGTTGGGGACAGGGAGTGTGAAAGCTCTTTATGTACAAAATGCCTCAAATATCATAATTTTGAACATGTCTCTTGGGCCTCTTAAGGACTTTTTGACCTACTACTGGTTTAAAGTGAAACCTTAAGCTGGAAGAGGAAGTTTGCAGTGCTGTTGAAACTGACTCAATATGAACAGGTCACTTGTAATAGTTGGAATGAAGGTGGAGAGACATAACCGGGCTAGGAAACAGAAATGAAGCAGAATGACTTACAGGTAGTCTTCTTTTAGTGATCAGCAACCATTTGAACTTACAATGACACCGAACAAGCGGTAGGTATGAGTGGATCTCATACTTTCGACCATCCCCGCATCCTGGAGTCACATGACCTTCCTGTCAGATTCCCACAACAGTCAGTGGAAAAGTTGACAGGAAGTAGGAAGTCATGGTGATGTGAGGTCATTGATTAATGAATGGCACAATCGTATAGTTTTTCAACTTACAATTGCATTGCTTAACAGAGTTTCTGATCCCAATTACTGTAGTTAAATTAGGACTGCCTGTAGCTATTTCTGCCAATCTAATGATTTCTTCATTGGCATTTCTTCACCGCTAACAATTTTGCAGCAACCAAAAACAACATGCATCTATGTAGACATCACCAGATAAGAGTTCGCAGAAATCAAATTGACCTCAGGTGGTCTCGACTTACAACCATTTGAAGTTATACTAGCACTGAGAAAATTGACCTACAACCGCTCCTTGCGCTTATGACCGTTGCACCATCTCTATGGTCACATGATTAAATGACAACCAACATGTATTTATAACAGTTGCAATAGAGTCACATGATCACCTTTTACAACTTTCTAGGGGCAGGGGGGTGCTTCCAAAAAGCAAAGTCAGTGGGGGAAACTGGATTTACTTAACAACGTAACAATTGTGTGATTTGCTTATTGAGTATGGCAGAAAAATGTGACAAAATTGGGCGTAACTTAACCAAGTTGTATTGCTTAGTGACAGAAGTTCCAGTCCCAATTGTGGTTATAAGGCAGGACTACCTTTATAGTATTGTCACAAGGAGGTGGACAATCTCAATTACAACAACAAAGAGCCAGGAGATAATTGAACAGATCATGTGCATGTTCCAAATGAAATAAGCAGAAGAACAAAGCCAAGCAGTTCCTAGTGGTACAATCTTGACCCATCATTTTGAAGGAAAACATCAGCCTTCGCTTTGAAATTCTGAGTCTCATTAATAGGAACCAGAGGAATTGTAGAATGAAATAAGGAAGTTGGTAAAAATGAATGTGAAAAGAGACTACTGTCAAAGGTTAAGAAATGGAAGAAAACAAACTGGATGCCCAACAGAACAAAGAAAATTGTCAAGAATGCTGCCATTGATGCCACAATGACTTAATTGATTATACACTAAAGTAGATGGTAATGTGATGGTAGTCACTTGAAAGCATGGATAGATCAAAATAGCCCAATCCGAGGTCTTTAGTGTGAATTTAAAAACCAACAATTCCCCCTATTCTCCCCATCACCACCACATAACACAAGATACAGTGAAATCTGTTGTAAAATCTTGATTCCTTGGCTAGTCAAGAATTCTAGTTCATACAACGTGGACAGATTCACTTTTTTAAAGAAAAACACTTACAGAATGATCAATTGTTCTACCACATTTTGAATAAAGTGACTAGAACCTTTTTCTACTTAGTCTACTCGTTTATTGAGACTAGGATAGTGCTGACTTTGTATACAAGGCTGTTTTGGGGGAAGACATGAAGAAGAGGACAGTAAGGTCCTGCATCAGGGCAGAATAGGTTAGTGTGTACTATGAACTCTTTTAAAAGAGGTGATTTCTCCGTTCTTGAAAGGGTTGCAAGTGGGCCTTTCCACAGCATCTTTCGCATTCAGAACGGCAGCCTTTCTAGTCATGGTAGATCAGAGGAGTCAATGGCACCCTTGGTAACTGTTCAGCAAAGAAGAGATAGCTATTGGTGATGCCTTGTTTGTAAGGTGTTCTTTTACAAGACAGTGCTGGAACAAGCAGATGATAAGACACCAGGTCCCACCTCCAGTGTCCAGCTATTTCACCAATTAATACTAAAAAAAAAAAAAATCACAACTTTTGGTCTTGGGAAAAGGTAGCGGAAGAATTGCTGTTGGTCTACCACTAGGATGATTGAACTTAGCATGGCGTGCCAATGGCTCCTACAGGGGGAGGTGACTCTCGGGTCTTGTCGAAGAAAATATTTGAGGACATCTCGGTTTTGATTTTGCTTTCAGAACCACCATCACTGGAAGTTGTTTCTTGACCACATTCATCACAGCAGCAGCAGCAACAGTCCATGAAGGCCTGCCCCAGGGGTTTGCAAAGGCACAGTAAAAGCACAGGAGTAACTGAACATTTGAAGAACAGGAAGAACTGGTTGACCAAGCTTAATAGGTCCAGGGTCTGTTTTGTCATGTCGGGAGACAGATAGGCCACAACAATATTACTGACATTTTCAGGAATGGTGCAGAGACCATAAATCACTGTCAGGCCAATCACTGTGCAGTTGAGTTGGCTTTCACACTGCCCATGCTTATTGCCACGGCATTCCGTCTTCTCTGAGCTGCTGATCCTTCTGGTGACCAGCTGGCAGCTGATGGTAAAGAGGATTGGCAGGCAGAAGTAGCATCCAAAATACCACCACATCCTAGCATTCTGATAAGTGAGAACCAGAGAGTAAATGGACTCAGGCAGCTCCTGAAAAGGTTTCATTGTGCAGTAGTCAGATACTACACCAGAGACTGGTGAGGTATCTTGTGCCAGCTGCCAAAGAAGGAGCTCTGGGATTGAAAGGGTCATGGAACCCACCCAAATGACAGCCAGCTTGGCAATGATGGAGTGGCAGTGTTCAATTGGACGGAGCTTGGCTTGAGGGCTGGTAGCCGCATGGAATCTGTCAATGCCCAAGGCACAGAGGCTGAAGGTGGTGATTCCCAGAGAAGTCACCTAGGAGCATAACAAAGGGAAATGGTTGAACTGAGATGGCCAAAGAAATAAATAAAACATTCGCCTCTCCTTAACTTTTAAGTTAGTGAGAAAATACAGACTTTTTCAATTTTGTGCAAAAGGGTTTCAAAGAAAAAATAAACCCTGTCTCTAGCATAGAAAATTCATTTACCATGCAGACTAATGCAGATCCCAAATTATGCCAAAATAAAATGGGATGTACAAAACAGGGAAAGTCATTCCAGTCCCCAGCACTTTTAAATGCTTCAGGAGCAACCATACAAGTTTGTGCAATAATTCTCTAGAATAGAGATAGCAGCACGGGAGATGGCAAATAACCCCAAATGAAAAGATGCATATTTAAATATTAGTGTCTGTTATGAGAATAATGATTCCATTTATTCCAATAACCTGAAAAGAATAAGTCACATTTGGGGGACCAGCTCTACCAAGGAATGTGTGTGACTTGATATATCAGCTTTGAGCATTTCCATGTGGAGTTGATGCTGAAGTTGTGTCATACACCGTGTTTCCCAAAATGTTTCCCTCCATTTGCCCCAAAGGTGATTTTTTTCAAGAGGCAACTGGACTTTCTGGTTTTTTCTTTGAAGATGTTTCACTTCTCATCCAAGAAGCTTCTTCAGCTCAGAAAGTCCAATTGCCTCTTGAAAAAAGCACCTTTGGGACATCCATGATCTGGATGACTGAGAATCTCCATAAACATTTCTCTACATTTGTTTAGTAACTAGAGTATCAGCATGGGAGCTGCAATTTAGTAAAGATTGCTTGTACCATTTAAAAACAAGCATATTGACTTTCCTTCACCATGAGGATATTAAAAAAAGCTTTTAACTCTCTTTTTGCTATCTTTCCTTAGCTACTTCCCAGGTCTTTGCAATGCGTGAGGACATTTTGATTCCAACATTGTTTAACAAAACCCAATGTACATACATTGATATGTAGTTGATTTTCTAATTCTTTATTTGATATTAAATTATTAAATATCTATCAAAGTTACAATCTTGCTTCCCTGCTTCATTTATTCCAATTAGTTTCCCCTCTTTTATTATTTCCATCCTTTTTGGATTCCTTATATTCAAAGTGAGCAGAAGGAGACTTAGAACCTTGATGGACCTTTGAACAATTGGCAGTAAATCATAAAAGTTACGAACTCCTAATGATAAAGTAATGTTAACAGCAGAAAGCCAATTCTCCTCCTCAGTTAGAGTCCTAAAATCAAGGGTGGGTTTGTTAGGAAAGAGAAGCATGTGAGAATTGTGATAACAGGAACCATTTTGGGAGCTGGTACATTTTCAGATTGCTTTATACTCATTTCAGTTTCTACACATCACATAAGTTCTGTTTTACAGCTGGCTTCATTTGGTTCACATGAAAATAGATCTTGCAGATTTAAAAACAGTTTGGCACTGTCAGCATTGTTTTCACTTCTATTATAATTTTTAATAACAAATGCAGAAGGGATGCACCTCTTACTTCTTTGCAAACATTTTAAAGACTATAATGTGAACATGGAACTAATTTCTGCCGACTATGACATCATTCTTTGTCTTTCTTCAGTATCTCTGTCTCATCAGGTGCCAGAACATGGCTCAGAAGCTAAGCAGTTTTTCAAGCCTATCTTGTTCTTGGATGGGAAACCAGTCATCAATAGAAAGTTTTAAAGAATCCCAGGAGAAAGCAATGGCAAACAGTTCCATATTACGGTCAAGAAAACTGCATAAATATATCCATATGGTTGTTAGGAGTTGAACTGACTCAAAGACAATGTCCCTAAATAATTGCAGGTTAAATACTATGTTACTGTACAGTGACACTGCAAACAATTAAGAGGATTGGAACATCTTTACTAATAAATGTAATCAAAAAGGAGTAATATGACAGATAACAGATAATCAGAGTTGGAAGGGACCTTGGGTCATCTAGTCCAAGTGGGAGACCCTACACCATTCCTGACAAATGGCAGTCCAATCTCTTCTTGAAAGTCTCAAGTGATAGCGCTTCCACAACTTCCACATCTCTCTCCCTCTCCCTCTCCCTCTCCCTCTCTCTGTCTCTCTCTCTTACACACACACACACACATACACACGCACACTCATTCTCTCTCTCTTCCTCCCTCCCACTCTCCCCACTCCCCCCCACCCTTTGTGTGTATCTTCCCAAGGATTATACATATAATGGAATATAGTTGAATACACTGTAGAAGGACAAAGTCAAATTGAAAATGCACCCCTGCTTAAAAAACCTTTGGCCATCTGTGCAAATACTGTGGAAAATGTATATGGAAATGAAAGGATAGATTAGAATTTTTCCCTTATGGTTTGCATGATGTTCTCTATCCCACCCCCAAAATCATTCTACCAAAATGGATGTGTCCCTAAAAGCTTTTTTATCTCCCATGTCCCATCCCTTTATTTTGTTCCTTGTATATCATGCTTCCCTGATCTACATGCTTCTTTTTACAGAGGGCAATTAATAAGAAAAAACCAATGGGAGAAACAACTTAGAAGATCAGGAGAGATGGTACTCCTTAAGCAACCTTTGGTCCTTTCCAAAAAATTCACTGAGTCAAAATGCATCTACTTTCTGAGCATCAAATGAGTTAAGTAAGTTTGTTGATGTCCCAAACTATTTCCGCTGCATTCAGAATCCCAGGAAAACATACTTGTCTGCCAAAAAGGAAGATGGCAAAGCGTGGAGGAGAAAATGCCAAACACTGGGTGGGTTGGACAGACAATGTAGAACACGAATAAATATCAGCTGGAGGGTGGAGGGAGGGCTCGCCTCCTTGCACAACACTCCCCATTACAAATGCTGTGCTTTCCTTCAGTTCAGGAAATACTACGCCTCATTTGGACAGTTGTTCATAGACTGCTGAAGAGCTCTGGGCCCTAATTGCAGGCGCCCGCTCACTTCTCTGAGGAAAAAGGGACATTCATTTAACACCGGAAGCTTTGGAAAGAGGCTTATTTTCTTTATTTTGCCTCCCCTTCCCCCTCTTTCCCTGTCCCATGTCCTTTGAACTGCTGCCAAAGCAGCGGAAAACAGAGCAATTCCAGGGTACAATCTCCCATGGTGTTTATTAAAACTATGAGCTTTCAAGGGATGCTTTAAAAAATTGAGGCAAGGCCATATTCCTATTTGTGGTCATCATACTGATGAATACTAAAGAAAGATGGGGTTTATGGAGAGCTTGTTTGAAAAGCCAATCCAAATAAAGAATTTGATGTTCCAAGCAGTTACACTATATGGTTTGAAGGACTTTGTAGATTATTGCAGAGGTTGCTTAGTTGCTTCTGCTGGATAGTACTATGATGTCTGAATCCAGTTAGCTTGTACCATCAACTGTTTCTAAAATATACAGAAAGTTAAGATGTTTCAAGATGTTTATGGAGATTCTCTGTCATCCAAGTCATGGTTGTTCCAAAGGTGCTTTTTCAGAATTCTCTCATCCAAAGAAGCTTCTTGGATGAGAAGTGAAATGTCATCAAAGAGAAAACAGAAAGTCAACTTGCCTCTTGAAAAAGCACCTTGGGGAAAGATTTCAAGATGTCTACTTGTGTTAGAATAATGCAGCAAACAGGAGGATGTCTTCAAAATGAACAATCCATTAAGGTGCAAATTGTCATTTGAAACTTGACTTCTGCTGTTTTACTATAATAGCATGATCCACTATAACACTTTTTTTGTGTGTGTAGCTGCCTTTGAGGAAGAGTTGACTTCTGGTGAATGTTTGGACTAATCCCTACAGTTTTCTTGACAAGGTTTTCCAGAAGTGGTTTGCCATTGCCTGCTTAGGCACACTAAAAGAAAAAGGGAAAGCAGAAGAAGTTCATGTTTGGTTGAAATTAAGGGGCATCTGGAGTAAAATTCAGGTATGAAAACCTTTCTGGAGAAAATACAAAGCTATGTAAGATTCGGAGAATTGGTCTATAATGGAATTGCAAATTTGCAGCAAGGTTCCTGATGTGGCCGACAGCAGAGAGGGCTGTCATTAGCAAAGCAGCTGCAACAAAATCTAGTTCCATTTAAAATAACTGCCCTTATATAGATGCTATCCAGATCTCTTAAAGTAGATTTCTACATTTTATCACATTTTATAGAATATTCCTATGGGGTTTCTTTTATGAAGAATAATCCAAACCTACAATCTTTCATCTACAACCTGAACAAGTTCCTGAGGAAAAAAGAAATGCAGCATGTGATAATTGCTGCTTTGATAGGAAGCTTTTTATATAACTGTGCTTAGGATCACAGCCATAAAGTTATTGGCATAACAGGAAAATGTTGGAGTCCATTGCAGGTCTTGAATTAACAATTCAACTGTCAACATTGTAGGAGCATCAGTGCAAATATAGCCATCTGGGTTGAGGACATCAGGAGAATTTGGGTGATATATCTATGCAGGTCTGCAAATTTGTATATTTAATTAACCAAGGACAAAAAACCCAGTGAACAGTTGTTCCTATATGTCCTAAATGTTTACTGTGACTCCCTTGATATGGATAGAATTATCTAGGGTTAATTTTAGACAATATTTTGTTATGAAGCTATGAACTTTTAGGATATAATCTATTAGTTATTCTGAGATAAATAAAACAGGTGCAAAAATAAAGACATATTCAGTGAGATGAGGGGAAGTCAGTAGTGTTTATATAAGAGCCATGGTGGCGCAATGATTAGAATTCAGTATTGCAAGCGAACTCTGCACTCCATTGCCAAGAGTTCAAGTTTGACTCAGCCTTCCATCCTTCCAAGGTGGGTAAAATGAGGACCCAGATCGTTGGGGGCAATATGTAAATGTCTTAGAGAGGGCTGTAAAGCACTATGAAGTGATATATAAGTCTAAATGCTATTGGTATTGCTAAGGCAATTTTCAGTGAATTTTATGAAACTATGAATCCTAAGGCAGCTCATAGGTTGAAAGGAATATAGCATGGCAAAATGCAACTCTGGTTCTGCCATTTTTCCACTGCAAATTATCCCTTTCAAGCCACCTTTCCTGTTTTCTGATATGGATAGCTGCATGTCTCTTAAATGCAAAACCAAACACAATGATACATAATAGTTTTTGCAAAAAAGAAGCTATTGGTTCATAGAATTCCATGCAGAATTGCCGATGTCCTTTTTCCCTAGAAGATTAAAACTTGCCAAAATAAACAAATACATCAGTGAATATCAGAATATGGTAGTTTAAATCAAATAATGCTCTTCAACCTTTCATAGAAGCAAGATCAAATATCCTATTGCCCTATCTAACAAGAAAATCATCTGAATGAATAAATGTGAAGATGGCCAATGCTTAATGTTAGTAGGTCTATTACATCTGGACTGCAAAAACCCTTAAGATCACTAGATGGTAGCAAAGCATTAGGTTATTCACTTCTCTTTGCCACCATCTACTGTCATGTAACCTAGATCTTGTAACTCTGATTTAACTTTCAACCCGATAGGAGAAAACTGCATAGAAAACCTAAATCTGCCTAGACTTTTCACAGTTCAAGTGTGGTTTCTGGCAGTGATAGGATGTGTTGATTGCAAGAATAAGTATGATTGTGTGTTCTTATTTTGAAATGGGCTTTTGATGTGTCCAACTGTTTGTGGCCTTGTCCCATTACGTCAGACTCATTGTCTTCCCTGCCTCCTTCATGTACTCTGCTGTCCCCTTAGTCAAGCTCTGAATCATTCACAGATGTCCATCACCTGCTTTGCTCTCATATCCTCCTGCATTGAGCAGGGAAGCTATAGAAATTATGTTGAAACATTGCAGTTTCTAAGGAAGGACAATCTATTCATTATGTTTGATAGAAAATGACTTGTGTTCAAAGGATCTGAATGTTCACATCAGATACATTACAATCCATTTTCAGTCTAAACAAACTTTATTTTCTTTATGTCTAATCCTACCTCATTCCAACTTCTTTCTTCCAATTGCTCTCTTGAAGACAGAAGGAACCTGATCTTTTGAAATTATATCTTAGATATTAAAGAAACACAGATACACACCCCATTGTTTCTTGCTTTGTAAATGCTCCAGTTTTGCACATTAATAGGATGGCACTATCTTATAGTATTTTTTAAAGAGCTCACAGTTCAAAATTCATTAAGAAGATTCAACAGAAAATGAGTGGAATGAATCAAAGATATAAATAATAATGAAAGGAGTAGATAATTGTTTCAATTATTTTGTTTTATTAAATGTGTATGCTGCTTCTTGATTTTCCCAGGATGTCTTACATAATATTAAATATTTAAAAAAGACTTTTAAAATAGTCATTAAAAATTAACAATATCTATTTTCATATAGCACACTTAACCAGATTAGTTAAAGCCTACCATACAGCATTCTAAACTTGATTTCAGTTAGTTAATTTGGTTTGGGGGTTTTAAACTATTGGTATGCTGATAATTCAATGTATAAGTCAGAAAATATATTAAATCAATAATCAGGCTAAAAACAACGTGTGAATCCAATGCATGTCCTTGAACACAATTGTACTCGAATTACAGTATGGCACAGGATCTAATGATAATTCTGAAAAGTGTTGCCGTGTTGACAAAAAATGCCAACCCACAGTTAACTTTATTGAGTAAATCATGATGAATAGATTTTTCTCCATGACAATCTGTTAGATGGAATGGTTAGATATGACTCCCACTTCTATCTTCTTTTGTCCCACATCCACTATACAATATTTTCTTTCCTGTCTAATAGAGTATAAGAGATTGAACCTATTCTCTATTTCCCTAGAGGCCGGGACCATAATCAATTAGTTAAATCTATAAGGATGTAGATTTAGGCCAGGTATCAGGAGGAATTTTCTGACTCTGTACACTATGCAGTAAACCAGCGGAACAGACTGTCACTGGTCTGTTGTTTGACATCCAGACAGAGCATGGATAGTGGTGATCTCTCAGTGATGCTCTAGTCTATTGGATCTATGACACTGAGCTAGGTGATTTCTGAGATCCCTTCCAATTTTGTAATTGTGTATGTCAAGACATGATTCCATATAGCCTTATCTAAATAGATATTTTTCCAAGTAAAGATCACAACTTGATCAAAGGTTGGTGTGATGGTAGCACAGATCCTGTAAATTAGTTTCAGGCTCAACCACTTTGGCAGGTTTTATTGGTGCTGCTCTCTGCCTCTGCCAGTGATGCTTAGTTTTGGCGTTAGGAGAAGTGAGGAAGAACCAAGAGAAGAGACAGTGTGCCTGATACCTTTTAAATTAAATACACTGATTTTTGGTTGCAGAATAATCTAACCTTGCCGTGAGATGCTCTTTTGTTTAAGAACACTGAAGCTGTTCTGAGAGTATTTCTGAGAATATTATCCAAAATCCTGTGGCACCGTTGAAAGAAAATTAAAATGGCCTTCATCCTGCCCTTATTAACAAAGACTCCATGGTAATACATTTCAGCCAAATAGATTTTCTATGGAAACCCCACATCATTCAAAACACAACTCCTCCTTTCGTCTCCTTTTCATCTTAGGAGAAGCCCAACTCCTAGGGAATTCATGAGGAAAGACATGTAACCTTCATGAATCACAAAGCTGAAGTTATACACTACAGCAGGTTTTGTATAGATTTATGATCAGTTGTAAAGGTCACTTTGTTCAACATCTCCTTCTCTCAGCATATCTTTGAGATTAAATTCAAGGATATTATATATACCCTAAACTCTCTCTCACTAGGTATTGCTGGATGTAACCAGGGATGCTGATAGCTATAGACCCATAAATTATTCACCCTGGTTATATGTCTTCCAAATATTTTATAATTTATCTTGATTAAGGTAGTTAGTAACTTTTTATTAATTTAAACAGTCCCTGAGATTTTTAAAAATGAGAATAACTATTGTTGTGATCTCAGAAGAAATTCAACATTTTCAGGCAATGATTCAATGATAGCAAAGCCTTTACTTGCTATCATTTTGACCTATTAAAAGTAAAATTCTCTGGTTCAGGGAGAATAATTTAAGGAAGACCATCCTTTCACAGATAAATGGTCTTCAACCAATTACAAGTAATAATCTTTTACTTCTAGAAAAAAGCTTGACTTGTTTCCTTCTTCATCCTGAGTTCCTGTCCACTTCCTGCCTGTGGCTGTGGTGAGCAGGTATAAAATCTGAAATGCATTGCATCCATTGAGCAAGAATTTCTCTTAGTCTGGCATTTTGTTTCAAAATTCTCAGGCTTAAATTATAGAAGAATTTTTACTCGGTGTAATTAAATGTGCATGACAAATATGCCTTTGGTAAAAAAGGAAGCAAGCACAGTTATGCTTATTTCAATGCCAATTATTTGATGAGAAAAATGTTTCTGTTTTGACCCCAGAGATACAAAGTGGAAGCTGTGGGTTATATTTCCAGGAGATATTCATGTCTAAATTCCAATTCTAAAGAATGGTGGCTTGAGTCTAGGTCTCAAAATGTCAGGCTACAGGAGGCCTACACCTGCTAATTATAGATTCAGCACAAGCATTAGGTGCACTTACTCTTTTTAATTAATATCTTCTCCTTTTTTAGGTGATTTTAAAGCCCCACTTTTATAAACTTGATGTGAGAAGTACCTCGTTTTCATTTATTAATGCAGCATCCCCTAATCTGTTGTTCTCTATACATTAGTCTTATCTACATGGAAGATACCAAACTGATGGACAGTCTATTAATGGTTAGAACATTAATATTAATGGTTGAATAATTAATATTAATAATTAATGATTGCATAAAAATTTACACATGAATATCTCCTGGAAATATAACCCACAGCTTCCACTTTGTATCTCTGGGGTCAAAACAGAAACATTTTTCTCATCAAATAATTGGCATTGAAATAAGCATAACTGTGCTTGCTTCCTTTTTTACCAAAGGCATATTTGTCATCCTCTTTGAAACAGAGATGGTGTTTTCTATAGCTCTTCAATCAATCAGCCCTCAAACTTGATATTAGGCAAACTCATCTTATTGAGGACAGGTAAAGTAAAATGACATGGGATTAAGTCAAATTCAAAACATAAAGCTGTCCAAGCACAAATAGCAATTTCCTTCTCTTCCTCAACTGAAGACTCAAGGTTGTTGATGATACATACTAGAGGTTAGCAGCGGAAATTCTTACCTCCATGAAGGGCACAAGGCGACAGGAGAAGGTTCCCAGCAGTCTCTTCTTGGTAATTTCATTAAAGATGACCACAGGTAGGCAGAAGAAGAGGATAAGGAAATCCCAGAAAGCAAGACTGGCCAAAATGGAATTCCAAGCACTTTTCATATAGTAATTATGCCAGACAATGCACATGACCGAGAGGTTCCCAACAATGCCTACAGCAAAGACAATGAGGGACAGGAACATGACAGCATAAGCACTGTAAGAGCTTTCTGTCACTGGATAGAGAGGGTTCTGTATCTGAAAACGCTTTCCTAGTGCCACAGTCCTATTCACCTGGGCCGCTCGATCACCATAGACTGCCGGGCTCTGTTGGTGGGGTTCTAAAGGATCTGTGTTGGATGGAGCTGGAGGCTTCATTGGCTGTAAAGTGGCTGGGTTCGCAGGCAGAGGAAATTCTACTTTGACTCCTGGAACATACTGCTGAACTGACTTGGCATCATCATCTTTTGCTCCTCTACGTGTTCTTCTCCACCTCAGCTGCTCTTCTGAGAACTGTTGCTCTTCATGGTTGCCAGTCAGTCCCGAGTCTCTCTTCCTGCCCAGTTCTCCAAGTACCTCCATCAGGACACCTTTGGAATTGATGTGTCTTTTTAAGTGATCTTCTCCAGCCTTTGCCTCCATTCTGGAGGGTGCATAGTTTTCTTCAATAAACGGGACAGCTCCTTCTTTCATCAGGGCTTCCAGTAGCTGCAGAAAACTAAGCAAAAGCATACCTGTCCAAGGGAAAGACATCCTTCTTTCTGCAAAACAGAGGTGAAGAGAAGAGATGCGGAGAAAGCAATTCACCAAATGAACAGAGATGTCACTTCCCTCAGTGAGAAAAGGAAAAAAGTTTCTTCACTTTGACTTGTGGTCTTAAAGAGGGCCGGGGGCATGGAAGAGAGTAAACGAGGAGATTGGAGTTTCAGTCCAGCTTGAGCGACGACAAAGAGGCACTTTGGTCTGCTTGGCCAGCTCACTGCTGCTGTTTATTCCCTCAGATCGTTGGGCAGAATTAAAAAAGAGAAAAAAAATCAGTAATTCATTTCAATCCTCTTTTGTTGGACCACAGGCCCCCTGGTGGCCAAGCTACAATGCCTACCAGCTCTCGTGAAAAGATCAAAAGCCTCACAGGCCTTGAGCCAGGGAAGGAAAGAACCATGGGAAGAAACCACCTGCTTTAGCCATAGACCTTGGTGCAGATAATTCTATTTGTTTTGGTTGTTTTTTTTTTGTATATTTGTATATTTGGGGTAAAAAGGGTATATTTCGGAAAGAATCTCTCTGAAGATTCTTCAGCCTCTCACTGAAATACTTCCCTTAGGCCAAACTCTAGAGAAATCCAAACTCTAGAGAAATTCTAATATCAGTTTATGTTTTTTGTAGAGATCCTAGAAAGATGCTTTGAACAAGGACAGAATAAAAGAGACACGCGTGTGACAGTGCATTAGCTTTCACAGCTGTCTGTGAGGGAACAGTTCAGAAAATCAAGCAGACATGCCAGGACTGTTGGTTGACTAGACCAAAGAATCTTTAGAAAACTTTCCCTTAAGCCACATATTCCAAGAATATTTACTTTATGTACATATTACAGCATTCTACCCTGTCACTTTTCCACAATGTTGGACCTTCAGTTTTCCTTATTGCTGAATTCTACCCCCTTTCAAAGTAATGTAACAATTACAATTGGATTAAGACAGAGAATGATTCTGATTTATATCCTGATCCTGATTTTGCCATGAGAACTGAATTCTGCCACTGGATAGGTTCAATCACTATCTGACAGCCTATGTCTGTCCCAAAGAATTACTATGTGGATAACATTAGGGAAGGCAAATATTATGTGCTCTATGTGAAACTGATGGTGGAACGATGAGATATAAATCCACACATAAAAAAAATACCAGCCTCTGTTGCTTGGTATTATATTATATGGGTTTCTCTCTCAACTTTACATATGATAGCATAGCTAAACTATCAAAATGCAATTGAGATGCCTAATCTAAGATCGGGATGTGGTAGAGACAGTGAGCTCTCACTCTGTCTCAATAAGGCTTACTTCAACTTTCTAGATGTCTTAAGAAACTATTCTTTACATCAATACAGCATTTTTATCTATCCTTTTATTATTTTGCTTCAAGAAATGTCATCTATATTCTGTATCCAGGCAATATGCTCAATATTTTAAAACTGAATTGTATGCTAAATTTTTCCTCTTCTGCTTAAATTGCTTGCTTCTTAAAGGACCATACCAAGAAAAGTTCTAATTTTGTATTGTGATCCCCTAATGTTGTTGTATCTGGCAGCTGAACCAGTGTGTTTTCAGCTCAGCTGTTTGTGCAACCAGAAATAATGTAAGTGTGGTTTTCCAGTTGAATCACTGGAACTTCCCACAGCTTGAGAATGGATCTTTTTTCTTTTGCATTAAATTATCATTCTTGTCATTCCAACTAATGTTGATATAGTCTGATCTGAATTTTTATGTGACACATCTGAAATGCAACAGGCTGGACAAAAATGCTGTGTATAGAATAGACAGACATGGATTTTTCAAATTCTGTTCCTTCTTGCTGCCTAGTATATAGAGAAATCAATGGCATTTTTTTTGTCACTTGCATGTTTCATTTCACGAGGCAAAAGATTGCACTGGTCTCAAAGTTCTTTGATTCCCACAGTACAATATTGGAAATGGCATAATAAACACACACACAAATGGGGGGAGGGGGGGAGGGAGGGAGAAAGAGAGAGATTATGTCATGTAATCATTTAATTCTATCAACATTTTTGGGAAAATAGACTTAGTCTCTATGTAATGTCCAATTTGCTGGTTGGGCCCAGAACATCATAGATGCTATATTATCCTCAAGTGGACAAAGCCAGTAAAATATAGTCTAATCTACATTCTATAAAGTTGGAGGTAAGCAACAGAAAGCAACAAGACAAGAAGTACAAGGATTAAGAAGGTTCTGCTTATAGACGTTCAAGCACAAGACACAATGTCTTGTCAATCTCTTCTTTGCAATGTACAAAATGTCTTCAAAGAAAAACCAGAAAGTCCAGTTGCCTCTTGAAAAAAGCACCTTTGGGCTCTTCCAAGTACTCTCTTCCCCATTGCCCTATTCAATCCTGCATTCCTTCCATAATTCTCCTAGCAGACACTCCTTTGGCAACTCTGCTTCTGGACATCAAAGGGAACAAAGATAAGGAGAATCATCTCAAACACCCAGAATGTTACAGTAACGAAGAGTTCACAAGAATACAGCCCTAGCCATAAGAGTTTTTCTTGTTATGAGTGTGTTCATTCACACCTCTATTCTATGGCTCAACTAGCTAAACTTATTCTTACTCAGCAGTGAATTCACCTATGACATGAGTAAACTAGCCTAGATAATGCTCCATTTTCATCCAGAGGTACAGTAGCCAACATGACCACTAAGAGACAACTCTGCTTTTACTGGAACAAGTCAAGTAAAAGTACAAATCAAGAGTGGAATTTTTTCAGAAGAGGTTTTAATTGATATCCTAATACGACTAAAGGGCAAAAAGATACAATCTCTAAACAACAGAAAATACAAAGAGTACAGCACCTCTCCTGTGAGGCTCTGACAACCTCAAATATTCCTTTCACACACACCCCAAAGAGACTCTTGAGACACAACAAACATTAACATCCTACAAAGGGGAGAAACCTTAAAACTACCTATTAAGAAGTTGGTATTTGAGATACATATCAAAATCATTTGTACCAAATCTAAGGCTCAAGTCAGCAGTATAAGATATGCTGTCATGATTATTTTGAGGCCCTGCTTTCACCTTTATGTATAGCCCGGATTACCTTCCCCTTCCTTATGTTCACATCATCAACACACTCGTGCAACCCCACTGTTTTTCCTCCTATTTATTGATTGAAACTCTTGAAGGCATCATAATAAACATATCAAGATGGCATTTTGGACTAACTATGAAGCAATCATTCCCTAAGCAATAAAATTCTACGTGTTATTTAACCATTAACAAAAGCCTTAGGAGGTATCAGTCCTTGTAAACGACAAGAGTTGATCATATGATCCAATCAGGCCATTTATAGAAGTGAGAGGGGCAGTTTTATTTTCCAAATAATACGCCTTCCCACATGGAAGAACCCTGGCATAATGGTTGTATTACGACAGATGTACAGTGACTTTTGCAGTTGCTCAACATTCAGATAATTAAAGCCTTGGTATTATCTCAGCTAAAGCCTCAGGCACTCCCTGTCCTAGCAAGAACCAGAGATGGAAATCCAACCTTAAATACATATGAATTACAAAAAGGTTGTATCATGAAGATTAACTGAAGCTTTTAAAATGGCACTGGCATGGGGTTTTACTTTGTCCATGCATGCCATCTGAATGAGGCAGCAATTTTATAAGTTATATGTGGTATGGGGGCCAGATAACTTGCAGGACTGCCTAACTTCCGTGGTCTTTGTCTGTCCCACCGGATCTGGATCCCCTTGGTGAAGCAGGATCAGCTGCTGAGATGTAGGAAGCATACCTTCTGTGTCATGGCATTGCCTCATGGAAATTCAGGAGGTCCCACCCTGGCTCCCTTCTGTTCCTGCCCTCCTCAGGCACCAGGAGCAGGATATTAGCAGAAGCTCAGTATGTGTGTCTGAGTACAGAGATTTATTTTAAGGGCTTTAACTTAGGTAGCTCATAGTTGATTCTAATTGTCTATTTTTATCTTCTATTTGTCACTCAGAGAAGATACGTTTTCCCTTTAGATTTATTGGGAGGCAGGATTTGTTTTGCATTATTTTATACTGAAGCTTGAAGGAGTGTTTCCTTCAGATAAATGATTATTTGCAATCAGGTTTGTAGGAGAAAGGTTTGTGACTTTGCATTGTACAGTTCTGCCACAAATTTACTTTATATATCTATCTTTCAGGAAGAACTACTTGAGTAGAATCAGTGGATAAGCCTCTGTTCCTTGTTATTAAACACCAGCAATAAGACCGTTTGGCTGCACCAGTTTCCTTAGGTTTGTATCTTTTCACCTCTGCTTTAAATATTCCCAATTTGTCCGCTGATCAGCAAGCTTTGAAAATAATAAGCAAGAAAGCCCAAAGGCAGAGCTAGCCTAGCTGAACTGGGAACGCTCCCTAAATACCTTCCCTGAAAATGACACAGTAATTCAAGGGTTTTCAAACAGATTCAAAAGCTGTTAGTTAAAAACAGCTCTGATCAAGAAGCAAAGCCCTGGTGATAGGAAATTGGCTGCTTTAAAATGAATCTGAGATTTTGTCTTTTTTTTTGTCCTTTGTTTCTCATGGAACCCCAGAGAGGCCTATAGAAAAACCCTGTGCTACTTCATTCTTTCCCGTCTAACTTAGGATTGCCTACTCCAACTTGCAAAGTCTCTTGGGTAGCTTTGTAGAAGCTTTTCCCATCTATGGTTACTGATCCTTTCCAAACAGCTTGTAAAGCAAGTTCAATAATTCAGAACTTTGAAGTGTTCAGAAATTGCAGGGAACATAAGAGCAGTTTCTCTTATTAATGTTTGTCTTCTTTACAGTGACCTAGAAATTGAGCAATTTCACCAAGGCAATTTCTTGTCATAAAGAGAACTATTTTTAGTTCACAAAAGGGTTACACAACGGGGCTGATGTGTCATGGAATTTCTGCAGTGACAACAGCCACCTATTGTTAAAGAAAGCTCCCAAAACTGACACTCCCACATGCATCCACAGGAGGTGGGGACGTGGACAGCTAGGACATAGCTAGACCAAGTCTTCAAACCAAATTGCATTTATATTAATCTGAGTATTAGATTCAGATCCTGATTCTAACCTCATAATTTTCTGATCACAGCCTAGTGTTCCGAATTAACTTCACAGTTTAAAATTCATTCCCGGTGGATTTAAAGCTTTTGCCTAAAGAATTCTCAGCAAACCAAGGGTAATTTGTTCACTGGGGCTCAGTGTATGTTTTGTAATTCAGAGCATTTGTGCTTGAGAACTACAGCATGACTCACCT